CCCCCCCCCCCCAGGCACAGCCCCAGCCCATAGCTGCAGCCCGCCCCGCTCTGCACAGATCCAGGGGCACATGCCCCCCCCTCCCTGTGCCCTCCTGGGGTGTGTGTAGCAGCAGAGCTGCCCTCCCCCAACACACATCTCCCAGATGAGACATGGCTCTATTCCATGCCAGCCCCACTCCTTCACCACAGGGCCCTTGATCTGCCCCCTCACGCCCCTTCCCTCCTCCCTCCCCTTCCACCACAGCAGACTTACTGGCTGCATGCAGTTCTTCAAGCTGCAGAGCTGCACATCAGAAATTGGATCGATATTGGCTGATATGCCTCCTTAAAAATCGACTATCGGTATCGGCCCCCAAAATCTCTATCAGTGGACCCCTACAAAGCATTCTGTCTACTTGACCTTAGTCTGTCATTGCCATTCAAAAGGCCTCAACAACATGTTTTAAAATGGTGTAAATGACCTGTACACTGTTTGTGATTTGTTTTAAATGGATGGACTACAGAAACACATGGACAAGTACAAGTTTTATACTGGTGTAGATGTTGCCTGTCCACAATCTTAGATTAACCATTTACGTAGGACAAACTGGCTGTGATTTGATCCCCTACCACCTGGTGGCAAGACTTTTGTAGTAGCCACCTATTTCATGCAGGTGCACTAATACAAAATCATAGAAAGTTCAGGTTAGAAGGGACCACAGGCAGTCATCTAGTCCAACCCCCTGTAATCCCCAGGTCCTTTTCTGCAAAGACCTCTCCTAATCGCCATGAGCCCCCAGAGATGATGGCAAATGACTCCACAACCACAGCACCACGTCCTTCAACACCCTTGGGTGCATCCTGTCTGGCCCTATGGACTTGTACACATCCAGCTTTTCTAAGTTGTCCCTAACCTGTTCTCCCAGCACTATGAGTTGCCCACCTCCTCCCCAAACTGTGCTGCCTGGTGCAGCAGCCTGGGAGATGACCTTACCTGTGAAGACCGAGGCATAAAGGCACCAAGCACTTCAGCCTTCTCTGCACCCCATCACAAAGCTGCCTCCCTTATTCAGCAAGGCACCTATGCGCTACCTGATCCATCATCTTCCTGCCACCAACACACCTGTAGAAACCCCTCCTACCACCCGTGACACTACCAGCAACTCTAATTGTGTTCCACCTCCAAACAACATTTCCACATTCTTCCCTAGCCATTTGTACAAGCTTCCACCCCTTAAAAGCTCCCTTATTGTGTTTTAATAAGTTGATACTTAAGATCACTTGCCCACACTGACTTGAACTGCTAGCCTTTTTGTTCCCAGCTCAAAACTCAGGCCCTTCAGCTATGGAAGAGGTCCTAGATGACCTCCTGATGTTCCTTTCTACCCTAACTTTCTATGGTTCTGTGTGTGTTTGCATGGTATATCTAGAGGCAATTGCATAATAGCTCAAAATATAGTCTTACTCTTGTATATTGTATGTGTGTGGGGGGGGTAAAGGGATATATGTGGGGGATGTGTGGTTGAAGAGTGGGTGTGATGGTGTGGTAGGTGTGTATTTAGGCTGTGGGTGGGGTACGTAGGGGAGGGTGGAAGGATGTGGGTGTGGGGGTTATGATGGAGGAGTGGGGGACTGCGTGGGGACTATGGGAGTATGTGGCTGTGTGTTGGGGGCATGGTGGGAGGTGGGGAGCTAGCCCCACCTGTCCCAGCCCTACAGTAGTGAAACTAACGTTGTGTTGGTCAGTTTAACTACTCTTGTGCATCCTGTTGGATACCAGCAACAGAAAACCAAGACATTGGCAGCACATAGGTCAAGGAATAAGCCAAGGG